AAATTAAAACGTTTGAACATTTTGTGTCACGCTAAAAAGTTATGATTTTTCCATATGAATATAAATGACGCATAGTATTAAGCATAAGTATAGTATAAATACAACAAAAAGTTGAATCCTATTTCAGTTTCACATTTAGTGTTTATAATAATTAGGATATTTAAAAGTGAAATGTAATGTTTGCAGCATTTATTCTATTTCGAAACGAGTTTTAAAATATTTAACTCCAGGAAGCAATATATCTTTGGCTACAAATTCCTTATAAATAATTCTCCCTTCAAGGCTATACAGGTATGGAAATGTTATAAAATTATAAAAGCTAAGTTTTACAGTGTTTGAAGACTAAAGCTAATCGTTGATGATATATTTTATTTCTCACTCACCGCAAAATACGAGTCAATGAAAATGATCATAACATAAAATACTGGTTAAGAAAACTAAACATAGCTCAAAATGCGCAATTCGGAAAATGGTCATAACATAAAATACTCGTAAAGGAAACTAAACGTAGCTCAAAATGCGCAATTCGGAAAATGGTCAGAACATGAAATACTCGTTAAGGAAACTAGACATACCTCAAAATATCCGATAATGAAAATGGTCATTACACAAAATGCTCGTTAAAGAAGTAAGATATAGCTCAAAATGCGTGTTTAGAAAAATATTTATAACATAAAATAAGTGTAAGGAAACTAGACATATTTCAAAAGGCTCGCTTAGGAAAATGTTTATAGTATAAAATTAGTGTTAAGGAAATTAGACATGGCTCAAAATGCGTGTTTAGAAAAATGATCATAACATAAAATACGCGTTAAGGAAACTAGACTTAGCTCAAAACGCGTGTTAATGAAACTGGACATAGTTCGAAATACGTGTTAAAAACCGTAAAATTTACGATTTTAAACCAGCAATTGGGTTGATTGTACAAAACCGTATAATTTATTAAGTAAATCCGTATTCTCCATACAAGAACAAGTTTTTTTCGTAAAAATTACGAAAAAAAAATCCGTAATCATACCGGTTTTTTACCGTGACAAAACAGTTTTTTGCAAAAATATACATCTGTTGTCTTAGTAGACTTTCACCATATAGGAACAAGTTTCCTCTGCGAAAGTTACGAAATAAATCTGCACTTGCTCCACATATGAATATTTTATGTCGGCAAAGATTGTATCTACCATTCATCTCTGGGATTCGAACCAGGGGCACTGCATTTAGAGGTGGGTGTATGCTCTGTCCCCTGAGCCACTGTAGCTCAAGTATTATATTATCAAGAAATTGTGATAGAGAGAATTTCGCTTCTGTATTGTATCCACTCAACAATAAAGTTGAATCTTAGTTATATTTATGCAATATTCAAAACTATAAAGTAACCGCAAAAAAGTAAGAGCAAGTATAGAAAATAATCGTTAGATATTGCAGAAATGGTAAAGTTATATTACAGGATGCGAAACTGCGTAGCAAAAACTTTCAACAAAACGGCTTTAAACCGTTAAATGTACGGAGAAATTTTGAAAAAAATAACGGGCATTTTTTACAGTGTAGTTACTCTATAAAACTCACGTGCCAAATCAGTTTGAAAAACAGTTTAATTTTCAAGCATTAAAATTATGAGCCACGAATTTTATAAGACCCTTGCCAATGAAAAAATAAAAATAAAAAAACATTTAAATAATAAATAGTACTCATATTTTCTTAAACTCTCATTTTGAGTTTCATTCATTTTTTCGAATGCTCATTTCAAGCTCAGTTCATTTTCTTAACTGAGCCTCTTTACCCTTTCGGCGGCAGTGAGATAAAAACTATCTCAGTTCTTTTTTAACAATAATACTATCCATTAAAATTATTAAAATTGTATAAATTTTAATCTCTTATATTTTTATGTTTTTATTCTAACATTTTAAATTCTGAAAAATATATAAATACCTTAATTCTGAAGGTAATTCTTTTGGCTCTTCTTGTCTAAAATTTTGATTCAAGTTTTTTTGCCTCTCTAAGAATTAGAATACGCCCAGAGCAAAAGGCTCACTGATTATGTTTTTCAGCATCTTTCGTCTTAACCCTTTCTGAAGAAATAAATTTTGATTTAAAATTCTTTAGCCGAACAGGACATTAAGAAGTGCAGTTAAACAGTTAATTCGAAGTCAAGTCGCATACTCCAGTTCCTTGTTATTTATAGAATTGTAGTTGCTAAACGGTTAAAAGCATTTAGTTTTATAATTCCAGTGATTTGTAACATTGGCTGAAGTTGCCAGACTGGCTACCAGGATAGGGGGAAAAATAGCGTTTTCTTTCATTGAAAAGCACCATCTCTCAAAAGTTGTAAATAAAATAGTATATCACACTTGAAATTTTTCAGATTTTTTATGCATCCTCTTCATTCTTCTCAAAAGCCTTAAAATTTTCAAATTTTCAAAAAAAGAATTTAATTTTTAAAAATATTTCAAACTTACCCGATAGAAACAAATTGCCTCTCAAAAACTTTCTGTATTAAATGTAATATTGCTAGTGAATGTAATATTGCTGTTTAATTAAATATAATATTAACGTAATATTAAATATAGTATTGCTAGTTTTCTTTTTCAATTTTTTTTCCATTATATTTTCCTTTGCAGCAATGTTCTTGAATTTTACAATTTTTCAATAATTTTCCGTATGATAGCCAAACGTAGTTTTATTTTAGCTTTATTTTATAAACGATAGTTTTATTTTCACAATATAAATTTTACAATTTTCACATCAGAAGAAAATCATCAAGGCATTTTGGTAAGTAACCTAAACATGGATTTAAAACCAGCTTTAGTCTTTTTCTCAAAAGATTGATAGAGCACGCGTGAAGATTTCACTTTATATCCGTCTTTAAACAGCTGATCCAATTCTGGGTTTACGAATACCAGCGTTCAATTACGTAACCTTGTAATTTTGAACCCAATCCGGAAGACAAGGGAACTCCTGGATCAAGTATTGGGAGAAATGTCGCCTTCGTGGTGGACTTTTTGATGGAACTAACCCGCATATTTATTGCATTGAGGGGAAAGTCGCGAAAACCTCCTAAGGTTAGCCTCACGGCAAGGGGATTTTGAACCACGATCCGTCTACCACTGAGGATATTTTACGACAGCCCTGCGGTCGGAACGAGCCGAGTGCGGAATTCATATCGATCAACCATGGCTGGGATTCGATCCCGGTTCACCTCATAGGCAGGCGAGCTTTCTGACTCCTGAGCAACCACGACTCAGGCGTGAAGATTTTATTTTATATTTTATAACCATCGTTGAACAGCCGACCCAATTTTATGGGTTTACGATTACTAATGTTCAACTCCTTAGCCTTGTAATTTTGAACCCAAATCCAGAAGACAAGGGAACTCCTAGATCGAGTATTGGGAGAAATTTGCCTCCGTGGAGGATTTTTTGATAGAGCTAACCCGCGTTTGCGTTACCTGGAGAGGAAGACCACGGGAACCTCCCACGGTCAGCCTAACGGCAAGGGGACTCTAACCCATGAGCCATCTACCACTGAGGATATTTCATGTCAGCACTGTGGTCGGTGCAAGCCGGATGAGAAATTCGTATCGACTGGGATTCGAACCCTGTTCGCTTTACTGGAAGGTGAACGCTCTATCCCTTGAGCCATCGCGGCTCAGTCGTGAAGATTGTGTTTTCTTTTCGCAATAGGCTGCTTGTTACTCCATTCACTCTTGCGCAACTCAGTGTATCATTTATTTTTAGACTTCATTGCGCACGATAAATGAAGGACGAAAGTCTTCAGCACGAAATAAAGTTAAGTCTCCATTTAATGTTTGCCCAAGAGAATTTATTTGTAGTTTATACTGGCAAGCTAGAAGACATGTTAAGATGTTGCAATTGCTTTTTACTGAATAACAACGACACATTAATGGAAAATGTTACTGGGCAGTAAGAAGCAAAAGAAAGTGAAGTTAGCGTCAGACATTTTCAGTCAGACTCAAGTAAATTCGATACAGAACTTCTTTTTCAGTTCAACATTGGAAAAAAATCATTACTTTGATAAAATGAGAACGTGCGATGATGCAGATAGTTCAAAAATTGTACAATAACTGAAAAGAAATACCCACGTTTATTACTTAAGTTGACATTTGCACAAAAACAACTTTTAGACATCGCTGCATGCAAGGGCGTTTACCACGAGCATTGCAGCTATAAAAACGTAAGGAAAGTTCATTTAAAGACGGAGGTTTTTTAATGACAACAAACTGTAATATGAATGATATTAATTGTAATATTGATTTGCAAGTCTGTGAACAATTCATTAAAAGAGATGGGTAGATATAAAACGAAATCTTGCTTCATGCAAAGCATTAGAAACGAGCTAAATCACAACAAAACAAAAGGGCAAAAAAAAAACCGTATTTTGAAAACTTCGAATTCGATGTTAAAGAAGTACCAGAAGTCTCAAGCTCTACACTGCCTTCAACCTCAGTCACACTCCAAGCGAGAATTGAACTTGGGATATTTGCTGGAACATGGGCTAAATATAGAACCAGGTACTCTGACTTTGCGGTAGCATTACCATACAATTCACTGAGAGAAAAAACGGACAAGGAAAGAGCATAAAATATGAAGTAATGAAATACAAGGGTTCTTCAATCTTTCTCGACTGGTGTAGAATACGAAGAAAGCAAAGAATAGGAAATCAAACTTCAAGATACTTACTTTGAAGGAAGAAAAGACATAACGTTAATCATAAACGAGGCAAAAGATGGTCGTTCCCATCACAGGACAAAAATATAACAATATGTATATCGATTAATTAAGAACTGGGAACTGTTTAATTTGGACTCATCTTTCCATAAACTCCTTCAGTGTCAGAAAAAAAATAATTTTTGTTTTTTCTGTTTTCTAAATATCGAAGCACCTGATGCTTCTCAACTCGTTATAATTGGCTGCGAAGGAATTATGGTAAATGTATGGAATTAGACGTTATTTGTCTTCTTAAAAGAAGCCCAAAAAAGATCTGCAATGAGTGACAGACGAGTGTCACTCAAATGTGCTAACACTAAGGCATATTATGAATTACCCGGACTGTCCAACAGTGAGTTCTCATTGATTTTACTGACCAATGGGCAAGAGTTCGATCAAATACAAACACCTTTCATTAATAAGTTTCAACGGATTGAAAAAAGAAATTCATCAGAAATGAGAGAATGTTACATTTCTGATCTCAGTGCAGATCAAAAATATTTAGTGAATTTAATCTATTCAGTTTTTATGGTGAATATCCACCAAATTTGGTGTCATAAGCCCTGAGAAACTTTTCGAATGCGAAATATCTTACTGCTTTAAAAAAAAGTCCTTCGGTCTTGCATAAGTACCTTAGATCCATCGGAAATTCAAGCGTATCTTAATGGAATTAGCCTCTTTTAATGTGGGAGTATAAGGAATAATATGTTTTTATATCAAATGTTAAACAGCCTTCAATGCTACTTTTGCGAAGCTATGGTGTACTCTTTAGTTTTCTCTCTCTTGTTTACTGTTGGTTGTAATTTAGAAGTCTCAAAATAGTATTATTAATATGAAAAAAGATAAAAAAACAACAGCAGTAGCCGTTACTGAGTAACGAGGAAAATGAACCAGAAAAATTTCAAAACAGTTGTTGAGTATTTTTTAGCAGATACACAACATTTGTAAAGTGTTTTATTTTATTTCGTCGTTTTTTATAAACTCGATAATTTTTAAAAATTATGGACTTTTTTCAAAATTTTATAATTTTTATAGTTAATGCAAAAAGAGAAAATATTTCTGAAAAATTCATGAATAATATTTCATTCAATAGACAACTTTTAAGTGGTGATTTGTTTTTATATGACACTTTTTGAAGATTTAAAAAATTTGCAAAATTTGTATATTTTGAAAGATTTTAAGGCTTTTGAGGGGAATGAAGAAGATGCATAAAAATTCTAATTCACGAGAGATTAATTCACGAGTAATATACTGGCCCATACATTACTTTTGGGAGGTAGTGTTTTTAAATTATCGAAAACTTTTTTTTCGTTCTACCCTTCTGGCTCACCTGAGAGGTTTAAACATTTGCACATTAGTAAATTTAAAGCTCTCGGTTTATTTTTAGTAAAAGAAAAACAGAAATACTTTCAGAAATTACTTTTTCGACGAAAAGGTTCAAGTACATAAAAATTTTGAAAATGTAAAGATTCGTTTCATTATTTGAAAATATTATGTCATTAATTCTCTTTAAAATGACTTAAAATAATTACATCTGTATTTAAATTAGAAACAGAGATAAATAATTTTTTCTCCGAAGCACATTGCTGAAGCTTGAAATGTATTTTTTTTTATGAAATATAGACATTTTTTTCATATTTAATGCTTCAAATGTTAAATTTACGACAAAATGTAGTAAAAAAAGTTAATTTGTTATATTTTTAGGATCCTGTATGTATAATATGGAAGAATTTTGAACATTTCATAATTCAAATAAAGTTTTCCCGACGAAGTCTTCGCGGCGAAGCAAAGTAAGAAACTTTTTGGAAAAGCTTTTAATAAGCAGAGTTACAAGGATAGCCATTTTATTAGAAAGTTTAAGACAAAGACTTTTTTTTTTATAAAAAGTGAATATATTTCAATCTTAACGTTACTAAAATTTTATTCAACGATTTTTAGGGAAACTTTCTACACTAAAGCGGAGAATGTCTAGATTTTTTCCATTGCGACGAGTTCATTAAAATTCTTTAGTTATCTCCGATGTTATCATGTTTTCCCAATAATTATTAGGCAATGAACTTGTTTGAAAACAAATTTCCCTTATGCAATGTCAATGTTCCTTCGTCAGAAAAAATCGTTATTTCGAAAACGTAAGGAAATATCTGGTATCACTTAGAAAAATCATTTTTGTTTCAAACAATTCTTTGTGGCCCAGCAACGAGGAGAAATTTGGTGAAATTATTCTTAAACAATAGATTATTTGACGGAATTTTCCCTAAACACCACATTGTCTTTCCAAATACGTCATTTGTTAACAGAGGTTTAACTCTTGTGTTAACGCTATTAGGAAACATGACGCAAAAAAAAAGAAATATGTTTATTGGGTGAAATAAATACCTTTGCTGAGTTATAACACATTGATGAATACATTGTTCAAGAAAAGAGGAAAAAACTGCTAAATGCATTATAAAATAACGCGCAAAAGAATAATTTTGAAAGATCACAAAACTTTGCGATTTTTTCATGAATAGTGACGACGCGTTTGACAGCGATGAAGAAATTCCTATCTTAAGCTTTTGACGCGTATGCATTTTCCTTAACTAAATGCTCTCTGACTACAATATGAAGAAAAGGACTAAGGACTTGAATGCAGCATCTTACATTGTATATGTTATATAGAAAACGCGATTTTACCAACTTTTCACCGATTATTTTTAAAACAGAGCTTTTCTAAAGTGGCTTGGTAAAGTTTCAAAGTCTGAAGTATGCTTCAATATGATTCCTTTTCGGCCTCTTGTCAAGCATTTCCTGTTAAACCTAGGAATTTTTAAGTAACTTCGGGTAATCCTAGTTTTTACTAGTAAATCCAAGAATTTACCTAACTTCAAGTTCTTACAGTTATCGCGGTAAAAACCTGAAGTGAGGAAAATTGGATGATCGGAACAAAAGTGAGTGCAGTGAGAATGCTTGCTCAAAAGTGCCAGATTTGCCTATCGTATCTAATCGTGGAAAACTAGCAGCTANTCAGATATGTATTTTTAGAATCTATATTAAAATTGTAAACAAAAAAGCATGCACATTGGAGGTTTCAAATCAATATTTAACCGAGGAAATAAATGCTATTGAAATCTAACCAGTCCTATGCCGGAAAAAAAGAAAATGTTGAAACTTGAAGGTGTTTCTAATAATCGTCTTTCAACTATATATATATATATATATATATATATATATTAGTAGTAATAGTATAATTATTGTCAATGTCACCAATAAGCCTTTAATACTTTTAGGCAAATAAACCTGAACTGCAGGGATTTAAACGAAAAGCTGGCCATTATCACAAAGAGCAGATGTCATTTGGGGAGCATGCAAATGCCATCTTCAAAAATTCTTTAGTAACAGGCTTTCCACAAATATCGAAAGCTTCTAAGAAGAGGAAAGTATGGAAAATGAGTGTGTTTCTGTTTTGTGTGATTGGCTTTTTGTACCAAACAGGAAATTTCTTGCTGCTTTATTGGACATACCCATCATATTCAAATACACAGGTCAACTATCTTTTTGATGTGATTCTGCCTGCTGTCACATTCTGCAGTCAAAATGTGTAAGTAGGATAACGCTGACAATTTATTTCTGATCATTTAAATTTTAAGATAATGTATCTATTTGCTAGACCAATTGTTTTTTAATTGAACCTAATACCATAGGTCTGATTTTTGTTTTCTGTAGGGCACAGCGACAAATCTATTGTGAAAAGAATAACACCTATTGTAAAAATCCACCACCAAATAAACCGAAATTTAGTTGTCTTGATCATTATCCGAAATTCTGTGAAAGTGGCCGAATGAAGTATGAGAAAGTAAGAAACGCTTGCCTTTTTATATTGAATGTTAATTAACCTGACAAAAACTATGTCTAAACATTCAAAATGTGTACTCATTTAAAATGAACATGTTAAAACAACTCAACCTGAGTTAAATTTTATCATTTGTCCGGGAAAAAGAGCCTTTTCATCTTGAGTTAAATTCACTCGAGTCAAAAGAATCAGCTCAAGTCAAATTAGCTCAAGTTTGAGTGCATAATTTTAGATGAAATATGTCATGTTTAAGGACAACATGTTGTAACAATATGTTGTAAATTGTAGGATTCATTTGAGAATGATATTTTGGTACTCATCTTTTTCATTTTCATCATGATTTTTCATTTTCAAACCAAAAAAAAGGAAAAAAATTCAGTGTAACGGTAGCTAATATTTTCCAGACTGTAGCGATAACATTAACCTAATTTAATTATTATTTTTATTTTATTATTGAAACTCTGGATGGCAATTTCTTTAGTTTCTCTTTTCAGATATGGTGTTTGAAATTAATATTTAGATCTTTTTCTCTGTGTATTTAGAACAATTTTTATCTATTTAAGCAGATAAGAGAGAAAGCACGATATTTTATCCTTATCCTTCACTCAATAATTAAAGGTACAAAATGGTACAATTTTTAAATTTTATTAGGCCTAAAAAAATTAATTACTTTTCTTAAATTTTCCCTTTATCTTGGTACATTTTGGTACTTATCTATCTTAGTTCGGTTTTCAAACTCAGGTTTTATGGATTTTTTTCTCAAATCAAAAAAGGGAAAAAATATTACTCGGCAATCAAACCCCTCCCCCCCGCAAAAAAAAGGCTTTCAATCACCTGTCTGGGTAACCTGAAATGGACTCCAAGACAGCAAAAAGTTTCTGCAGAGATGTCAACTAGCCTCGCTTTGCGGATAAATTTTTTTCAATGGTAACAAAATTTTATGTTTGAATGTATAGTTATATTCTTCGTTTAATAATTTTGATTTTAAAATTAATTTTACTTCATTTGATAAATTATACTAAAGTTCATATCAAACGGCGCATTGCTTCGGTTATCTCAGGATGAGTCTATAAGGCGGCTAAAAAATCAGCAAAAAATTTGCAAGGTATATTTTTTAATTTTTTACATTTTTGTCTTTTAGAGTAGCGAAGTAGTTGTCAACACTGTACATGTAGTTACAGGTGTAATTTAATACACATACTAAATGAAAACAGAAATTCTCTACAGAGACATGTAAATAATTCACTCCTGCATGAGTTCTGTACGATTAGCAATCTTAAACACCACTTTACCAGACAAATCAAAATTTATTTAAATGTCCTTTAAAATTAAAATAGCATACGTTCAGAGATGCCAACTGCTCCGGACGCGCTAAAATAATTAAAAAAAACGGTAAATAACTACAAAGTAAATTTTGCAAATATTTGACTATTTTCGCTTGTTTTTTAAAATGCATAGCATGAGAAAAACACCATAAAACTGGTGAATCATATAAGCCTACGAATAATTTAGAAATAGTGGTGAATAAAAATCTACTAAATTGAATTTATTAAACCAAGAATCACAATTGATAAACTACCACTTTGAAATATATATTTGCTGTCCGGAGCAAGTTGGCATCTCTGTACGTTATTTATATCCTGAAGGCAATGGCACTATTAGGTTGTTAAAAGTTCTGCAACACTTCACCTTTCATGAATTTCACCTTTTATGAATTTTCATTTTGTGTTGCTGTTTTTTGGTGTTCTTAGTTTAAACTTTCATCAATAAGTTCTAAATGACTTTGGATCAAACTGATCTTCGGGTTTTGATTCATTATTGCTATAAACGAGATCTTTCAGCAAGGGATGCTGCAAGGCTGTTGCAGAACTTTTTGAACAACCTAATAATATATGTATACAGTATAAAAATTTGATTTCAGATTCCTACAAAAAGAGATCTCTTTAATATTCGGAACAGAACATCTTGGAAATTAGCAGACGAAGAAGCACCTGGTCAAGAAATGATTGAACTCTGTCAAACACGCTTTGAAAAAAACAAAGTGAATTGTTCGTGAGTCAACCATCTTTTAATATTCTTAAAAGCTGAAATTCTATTTATAATGGATTGCTTTCATTTTTCCGCAAAACCCAAAATTTTTATGGAACTTAATTCCATACATGCCAAATTAAGAAATATTTTTCTAAGTGGTTATAAGACAACAAATAAAGTTCGAAGCATTTTCTAAAAATTAACTTACCTTAAAATTGAAGAGTTAAACTGGATGACAAATAGATCATATCTACATATTTTGTTAATTATTGATTTGTCGTGGTAGGCTGAAAAGTTTTTTGAAACGTTAAATTAAAGAATTAATACGTCAAAGCGCTATAATGTTGCTACCACTAAGAAAAATTTTTTAACCGTCGTACAACTAAAAATATAAACTGGTGATTAATTAAAAACAAAAAAACATTGAAAGAGATTAAAATTACAAATTGTTTCGAGCACATTTCTTTCAGTTTACTATTGAAGGTGATAGTCAATAATTTTTCCATTTTAAATGTAAAAAAATTTCTACGTCTGTTATGATCGTAGTTACGCTTGAAAAATTAAATAAGTTAAATAAATAAAAAGGATTTGAGTGTTTTTGCCACTTCTCACATTTCTATTCACCTGTCTTTTCCCTTTAAACACGTAAGTTGTATACTTAATTTAAGTAATTTTACATGAATAAAATTCAGTTTTATTTAAAACACATATATTCATGTATTCAAATCATTTTTACAGTATTCGAAGGTTTCCCTTCGTAAATCAAGATAACATCCCTACCTTTTGTTACACAGTTAATTCTGATTTGAATGTACCTAATGCAATTGACAAAGTATATCCGAATACTATAAGTAAGTGCATTTTTAATACTTATTAACGTACATTTCTCAGTATGTTTTTTTTAAACATTGTTGACTGTATCTAATCCCCCAAACGAAAATCCGATTATATCAAATAAACAAAAATTATTATCGTATTTTATGTATGAAACGCCGTACTTAAATTAGAGCGTTAAAATATTATGAGTCTAGATCTCCAGAAAGTTTGAATTTTTGTCCTCATCTTTATTCAAATTATTTTTTCTTATACTGTTTTTTTTTCTTCCTTTCTAAAAATTTTTTTATTTATCTATTTTATTTCAAACTTAAAAAAAAAATATTTTCCTGCTTTACTTATTTAGATAATATAAAGCCTAACAAAACTTTTTTTTTTGTTCCAATACTCACGGTCGCATTAGAACCTCGAAAATTCGAAACATAACACGATCTTTAAATAAAGCGACAGCGCAAAATGTGTAACGTTTTTCATCATGGGCTTCAATTTAGAAGTTTACCCTTTAATGGGCCCTTTATTTCTAGTAAAGGTAAATTAAAGTATTTTTGGAATTGAGATTGTTTTAAGAACAGTAACTGATACATAAAAAATAACTCATTTAGTTTATAAAAATGCCATTTTTTTGGTGGTAAATATATTTAACATGACCTATTAGGAACTTACTGACTTTTATTTTTCTTTATTTATAAAATAAATTCCTTAAATGCTACAAACTTCAAAAGGAATTATGTATTTTGTAACTTTTATACGTTTTTTAAAAGTGACAAATGGTTACCAATTTTATTCAAACTCACTTCAAGAAAGCTGAAGTTATTGAAAAATGGAAACCTAAATTAAAAGTGGTAAAACGTGGTGGTAAGTATACTTACCACGGCCTTCAAAAGGGTTAAGGTATCCGGGTGTGTAAAAATCGAAAATTTCGAGTTTTTTTTTATTGTTCATATTTAAGCTTTAATTGATTAGCTTTTTAAAAATCTTAAGTCTCAAAATATTTAAGTCCCGCAGTGGACTGATTGTGAAGACACGATTTCCACCAGATCACCGAAGTCAAGCATCACTGGCTGCTGTCAGAGAGCGGTTGGGTGACCACTTTGATCAGCTTACGATGGGACCCAGGAAGTGTGATATTGAACCTCGTTAAACTATTCTACCGTAAAGTGCTCGACTTCGAGCGCAGGTCGTCGGGCTACCGTCGGGCTAAAGGGGTGTGCCATCCTCATCTGCAGTGGATCAAAATTGTGATGGCATGTCTTCGGATTATCCTCAGGGATGCTTCCCTGACAGCCGCCAATAGCCTATTGTGCAGCTCTAAGGCAATGTAAATTAATTACAACAACAACACTTAAAGTCTCTGAATTCCGATTTTTAAAAATGAAGTTATAGTTGTTTTTTCGTATGCTGACAGTCGAAAGGAAACCTGAAGTAAACTCCCGAAAACGAAACTGCAATTATTTTGTTAGGCTAACTGCAATTATTTTGTTAGGCTTTAAATATTTTGACGGTTTTTTTATTTTAATAAATTTTATTTTTAAGACAAATACAATTCATTTTCATAAATTAATTCCCAAACAATTGATTTTTTTTCTTTTTTTTTTTTTTTGCTGTCATAATTTTTTTACATTTCAAATTTGTCTTGTACTTTGGATTCATTTTCTGATGAGCGGTGATTTTGAGAAACTTTCTTTACGCCGACGCACATTACAACAAAAATATTTATTTAGATTGCTTCGAAATTTTGCTTGTAGATTTTGTATGATGTTAGCGATGTTTTTAACTAAAAGTTAAGGATTAAGAGTTGAATTTATTATTTTTTGTCAAAAATTAGTCAAAAATGTGCTATCCAGAATGAAAATATCCTCGTCTTTCTCTTTTTATTCGGGGGAAATATAGATGTTAATTATTGCGTTCGGACTTCCATATTCTTACAAAATACCTGTTTAATGTGATATAATAGATTATGAAATACTAAAGGGTCAAAGTATGCTGTTGTTTAATGCTGTTGTTGTTGTTTTTTCAGGTATATTTGTTAAACTCCGAACTTTTCCAGAACAATACCTATTTAGCTCTGATCCGGTTGAGATTCACGCCTCTGTTCATGATCGCAAACACCTCCAAAATCCGTTTACTGATGGTTTTAGACTTGAAGGAGGAAACTGGTTTACAGCCTTTGTTTCAATAGTAATTATACTTTAGTTGTAAAATTAATACTCATATTACAAAAGGATATATTCTATTTACATTACTTTCCTTAGTGCCAATTTCTTACCTTATTATTTAATTATGCAAATTATATAAAATATACTCAAATCCCTGCTGTTAGGATTTCCCAGATAAAAAGAGTCTCAACGCAACAGTAATTTCACCACCGAAATTGTACTCTGAGATGGGCATAACAAGCTGGGGAATGCTAATCACAATGAGGTGTTCTATTCAACGCTTTATAGAAATTACAACAATAATTTTTATTGATGTGACACGAGCATGTTTTTTCATTTTTGTGAAAAACTCTTGTCATGGGTCCTGATCATGGGCGACTTTGAGACAATATGCATCTTGACAAACATGCTAGGGTGGAGCCAGAAGGGGTTTAGGGGGTAATTGCCCCTCAATCGGGCATCTTTAGCCCCCATATGGAGAACTTAAAAATTGTCCAGAAACATGCTACCATCTTAAAAAGAAGTTTTTTTTCCTGTAAATGAGATGCATGAATTAAAAACATAAAGACGAGAAAGTGTTCTTCCTTACTTACTTACCACCAACTTCCTGTTCACTTTTCCTCAGAAAATTCCCTGGGACAAGTCTTTTGTTTGTGTTCATATGAAAAGTTATTCAACAACTTTGAGGGATAGGGGGAGACAGGAAGACTGCTCTAGCATCTACACTTTCTCCTCGTTCAATAACGAAAAGTATTTTGTTACCATTCAACGTAAAGAATTCTATTTTTAAAATTAAGTAAGTTTGTTCGGTCAATCTTTTTTTTTAATTATTATTTACTCTTAAACAGTGTATTTATCTATGGTAATAAATTCAATTATTATTGCTTATATATGAGTTAAAATATTTAAATAAACTTGTAATACCAATACCAAGTTGTACCAAAATATACCAAGTTGTGTTATAAACTACAATGAAGAGGAGCTCAATTATTTTTTATTTAAAATTCACGCACTATTCCATCAGAAATAGTTTCTCTACTTATCAGAAAAAGATTTTTTTAATGTAATAAAGAAAATTATAATTAACAAAATAGGCGTACAAATCACGATTGCAATCTGTGCTCTCGTCGAAAAGGTTCATCTTCTTGTAGTAAAAATATTTTTAAAAAAAAAACCGACAAAAATAAAAATTTATTCTATTACACCGAATTTTATTTATTTATTTATTTTGTTTTTTTGGTATTATGATAGACATCGCTTTCTTCAAAATTGAGAGGTGGACGAAAGCCAAAACTGCTCAGCAACTCCTATAATCGGCATATAGTGCGTTTATATCACAACAAAATTTATAATACATTTTAATGTCTCTGTTGTATTTTATAACTTAATAAATATTCTGGATCAGATATGACTTATATGATAAGTGATTTAGTGTTGATAGATGAGACTTGGGTTCGAATCCCCATAATATTTCGCTTACTGTTCTCGGTTTGCACTGACAACAGTTCAGACATACTATACATCCAGTGGTAAAGGGGTCATGTCATGGGGAGGAATAATCCTGCCCTCGAGCAAACCACGGAGTATTTTCAAGTGTAAAGCCAATGTGAGCTTGTTTCAATTCCAATGTTCTCCATGAAAGTGAATTTGTCGTAAAACTTTACCAAGGAGTTCTTTTTTACTCTAAGTTCGGTTCAAAATTGCACAATTTTGTGTTTTAGCGTTAAAAGCAAAAAATCATCTGCATGAATTAAGGCCAGTACTAAAATAAAGTAAATACCTTAAGTCTTGCAATAAATTAATCTTATTCAATTTTTTTTGTTATTTATTTTCTGATTTCAATTAAAAATTGCAAAATTTTTAAATTTACAGAAAGAAATCATCAGACTACCTCATCCATATGAAACAAATTGCACGGATTATAAAAAATTATGGAAAGAAAATAACGGAACAGGTCCAATAAATCAAATTGTAAGTGCATTTTCATTATTTTTTTTTTTGAAAAAAGTTAATTTTTAGAAATACTCAGGATGAGATAAACTAACTTATTTGCATTGCATTTTTTTTTCAGTAAATAATCACGAATTTTTCTACTNTGCATTGCATTTTTTTTTTCAGTAAATAATAACGAATTTTTCTACGTATCAATTCACGTAACAAAAATATACAAGCACATAAAAAACTATGATGAATATTCATTTCAAATCTTTAAACTCTCGAGATCGAGTATTATATTTGTACTATAAATAAAAAAGCGCTTGAGGTCAGGTAGGGTATAGGAATTGTATATTGAAGTTCCTTATTCTCTCTTCCCCCAGATAAAACTTGATGAAAAAAATTAATAAAAGAACTTTTTGAATTTTTCGACATTTAATTCCAATGTCAACTTTTCTACTAGGTTAACTATTTAAAAAAAAAAGGAAATTGGGAACATTGGCTATTAGTGTGCTAACCGTATAGTTGCCAAATTAGAATCCTTGGAGCCTAATGGACTAAATTTTTCACATCAATTTTTAGTACTATTAAGAAAAAAGTTGAGTTTTTAATTTGGTTATAAATGATTGGAGGGAATAACTTAAACCGATTCATCATTACACCCAACAAACAGTGTGTAATTCTTATTTAGAAAAAAAATTCTAATGGGAACGTTAGTTCTTAGTGAGCTAAATGTATAGTTTCCAGATTAGAAACTTGAACGTCTAATGGACTAAAATTGTCACATCCTTTTTTAGTAGTATTAACAAATAAATTGAGTTTTTTAATTTGGTTATAAATGCTGAAAGGAGGAATAACTTTATCGAGAATCAGCGTTGCACCCTCCTAAAACTATATATATATATATATATATANATATATATATATATATTGAAAAAAATTAAAATGGGAACGTTGGCTCTTAGTGCGCTAACCGTATAGTTGCCAAATTGGAGTGTAATAATCTAAAATTGTCACATCATATTTAGTAGTATTAACAAGTAAGTTGAGTTTTCAATTTGATTATAAATCCTTGAAGGGAATAACTTTAACCGATTAAACTGTTGCACCCTCTTTTAGAAAAAGAACTAAGAGTATTCTCGCTGTCAAAGAAGAAACTATTATTCTTCACAGGCTACAAAAAGACCAGGTTCGTTCGTAAGAGTTTCGGTGTGGTTTACGGGTCCTTGGACCCTTACAAATATAAGATTATGACGTTTTTGCACTAGATTATGTGACGAGAACAGGCCTGTTCAAAGCACTGTTTATTTTAAAATTCGTAACCGGGTATTTGAGGGCTCCTTTACTGACCAGACGTACACAGACAAAACGGTGAGGCATGTCAACTTTCCAACTGAATTTTAGGAAATATACAGTTCAGTTGTTAATTTTTTACCCTCTTTTTATGTAGGATTGCTTTCACTTCTGCAAGATAAACAGGCTAGTTTCTCAAAACAAGTGTATTGACGAGTATACTACTTACGCTCCAAATCTTGAAAAACTTTGTCCGAGTGGTAAGTAAAAACGCATGTAAAATTTACAACATAGTAATAAAAAATTACATGTTACTGAACATGGTTTCTGTAGAAGGCAACTCAATTTTATGTATTTAATTTTCGTTAAAAAATGATTATGTACTCCTAGAATAATACCAAATATAAAAGTTTTCTTTTCAGTTTAAAAGTTTTTGATGGAGAATGTTTTTCCCATTTTTTTTTATTCATTAGTTACAAAAATTTGTTACCCTGTATTTAATCATTTTTACTTATAAGATGCAAATGTGATAATCTATATTTGGTTCATGTTAGGTCACGAGAGTACAACATCAAAAATGATTAAAGATTGCATGGAAGAGTGTCCAAAAGCTTGTAGGTAAGTTTTTCATACATGAAAACTTCGCTTATTTTAACAGGTGATTCCTCACGAATTTCCAAAGTAATCATAAATTTTAATATTTATCATTAAGCTTTAAATTTAATAAATTAAACTTATTATGATTCTGATCACCACTGTATCTAAATAATTTAATCAGATAAATTAGACCAGTGCTCTTGGTGGACATATTTTTTGTAGCATTGATACAAGTGATCTTGCCTGAATCGTGTGTGGGGATTTCAACTTTAAAATTAAAAATGCTACTACTAACCACTGGCCGGTTGCAAAATTTTCTAATTTCAATGCACACCTTAACATATCGCATCATAAACTGAAATGTATTTTCGCCTTCTTCCTACCGCTCCATGCGTAGCAGAGTTAAGAGATATTGTTTATTCGTATCTCGACCTGCCCTATTTAAGGGCATACGAGAGTAGATACATAAAACATATATTAAACATACATAAAACACTAGAAATTGTATCAACAACAATTATTTTAAAATCACAGATGTCAGTGGCAACAGCCCGACAGAAAAAGTATAACATCACAAGTGACAACACAAAAAAGGTATAACATCAATGGCATCTGCTAAAATTGAGCCATTATAGAATTAAAAGTAAAAGATATTTGGACCAACAGACCCTTATGACTTTATGGAGAGATATGGGGTCTCTCAGTATTCACTGTAGGCACTTTTATAAAAAATCCTGATAAGGATTATGTGCTATTGAATTGCTTAAAAACTGTGGCTTGTAGAGAGAAACTTATTACAGGTCTGAAATCAGCTACGCAAAAATATCTGAGATCTGTTCATGGGAATGAAACAAATATGATCGATCTGTGAAATTTTAATATGCAGTCAAAATTTTGCCCTTTGCAATCGCATGGCTACTCGTCGTAGCCAAAGATTCATTTAAGGTTCCAGTTCTAAGACTGTGCTCAGACCCACTCACCACAACAAATAACCATACTTGTTTTATAGTATTGAACACTATTATTCACTTGACTCGATCATCTAAATGATAAGTAATTAAAAGTAATATTTTACAAGGTATATTAGGTATAGAGGAGCTGTTTACGAAGCTGAAAGCTTATTTTACACAAAGACGACAGAGTGCTTTTTTTGTCGTATGCCTGTTTAGGCAGTGGGGGTGCGATTGTTCCTGTTTTTCAGTGGCGCCATCTATGGACAGGAATTCGACTTCTGCCACGCCATTCACACAACCACAACCAGTTTATAAGGCGGGTCACATTCACACACAAAGGAGTAAGGACATAGAACACACAGATAGAGAAAGAAGCATCCATGCCTTGCCCGGGATTCGAACCCATGACCTTTCTAATGCAAGGACAGTTCTCTGCCCCCTACACAGGTCGGTCGGCACGACAAAGTGCTGAAACAACTAATAAGAAAATCATTTCATTACAGCTTCTTTATTCAAAAAGATTGAAATGTCCGTGATATCCAATGTTCTTTAACAGGTGTAACATGCACGTATAATCGTTTTATTTATCCTAGAAAAAGTAAATAGTGAAGTGGAGTTTTTTATTAAAAGTAGTAACAGCTAAATTTACTCCTGACGAAAAAAATTTTACAAATAAAATTGTTTTGCTGCCAGTTCTTCCTTTTTTCCATCTTTCTCTCCTGGTTGTTTATTCCCCGGGTAAGAGGAAAACACTGGAAATAAAACAAAACGCTTAAGCCTTCACTTTACTATTAAGAAGAAAAAAAAGTCTAGATGTGAAAAGGTTCTAATACAAGTTATTTCGCGTTTCTGTTGTACAAACTGCCCTGAAATAATAGCATTTTCCCTTCCTAAATAAGATTTCTTTTCGTCGTTACCCAAAATAATATGTTTGTTCAATAACTTCCGATCAAAACATAAACTAACACTTCCTATCCCTAACCATTTTTCCATATTGGTACTTTTTACATCACAAACAGTGTATTGTGAAATCCCAAAGTCAGCGATGAGGAAGTTAGAGAAAGAATATAAAGGTAGCTTCTTTCCATTGTTTTAAGAAATAGGATTTTTCAAGACAAGTTTTATAATAATACTTATATGTATATACACTGAAGAGCCAAAAAAACTGGTATACCTGCCTAATATCGTGTAGGGTACCCGCGAGTGCGCAGAAACGCCGCAACACGACGTGGCATGGATTCGATCAATGTGTGAAGTAGTGCTGGAGATAATTGACACCATGAATCCTGCAGGGCTGTCCATAAACCAGTGGNTTTCCTAATTTTTTTTGATGATATTTTTAAGTTCCTCTGAGTCAGTAGGCATTAAATTTTGTAATTAGGTGGCATTTCTGAAAAAGTTTCGATTTTTTTAAATAATATGCTCTTCAAAGTCCTCATTCACAAAATTATCATTTTCAGCAAATCGTTCTTCCATTGTGTCTGTAAAAGCTTCTGCTTTGTCTTTTGCAGTAAAAACAATATCTCTTTTACCATGTATTGTTTATTGATGTTTGATTCTGATTTTAATGCTTTGGTTAATTTATAAAGTGAATGATCCTTTTTGTTAAGTGATTCGATCTTGTCAATCCATGTATCATTACGGTGATCCACACATGGTTTTTTAATTTGCTTATTACGATTACTTACGATTACGAGTTTTGAGCTGGGGGTCGAAAATTTTTCGCCACTGTTTTCTGATTCTATTTCTGTGTTGTATGAGTTACTTCATTTGGGGAGATAATTTTAATTAGGAATAAATGTTTTTCATGTTCGGTTTCACTAAAAGCAGAGAAAAGTGTTTGATTAAATTTAGAGATAGCTGTGTCAATATCATGTTTATTATCAGTTTGGGAATCAGCTAGGTTATTAATGAGAATATTGGACTACAATTGCTACAATTTTATTTTTTGTTGAAAGTTGTTGATGTTTTCGGCATATGTTGCAATAGCTGGAAGATGGTCAGAAGATAAATGATTCATGACATCAGCACTGAAAGCTATTTTAGAGTTTGTTATAAAATGATAAGTATATCAGGTCCATGTGTTGTAAAACAAGGATAATAAGTTGGAGTTGTGGGAGCCACCACTTTTAAATTTTTGTCTCTGATAATGTTATGGAGAGCAACGCCATTTTTGTTATTATTACACCACCAAATCGTGTGTTTGCTATTGAAATCTCCCCTACTATAGTTTCAATTTTATCATTAAAAAGTAGCATCATATCGTTTTGTTTCAGTGTATTATTAGAAGGATTGTACAGTGCTGAGCACCTTAATTGCTTATTATTTAGATGTATCAAAACGGTTCTTTGTTCAAAGCCATAAGTGTTATTAATGTTGAAAAGAGCTGCATTTAAATGTCATTTGGATAAAATCGCGGACTCGCCATCATTATAATTAAGTCTGTCACGCCTAAATGCATTATAATTTGGTACTTTAAGTTTATATTATGTGGTAAGATGTGTTTCAGTTATTAAGCAAATGCCTGCGTTAACTTCAACAGGAAAATCCTTAAATACTTCTATTTTATTTTTAATACTATCTACATTCCATAGAACAATCACTATTAATTTAAACATTATTGTCAAAGGCAGCTAAAGTAGGTAATGATTGAAGTATTAGCATTATGTTACTATTTTTGATTTAATCAATTAGAAATTTTAGTTGATCCATCATAGATTTGACTTCATTTAAAGTGTTCATGAACTCGATTTTTCATGTTTCTGTCTCCAGTTTTTCTCTCAGTGTGTCGGCGAATGATTATCCTGTGATTACTCTATTTGAGTGAAATTAAGATCTTGTGTTTTTAGTGGTTTTATGCGATTTGGGATCAAATTTTGGCCGCTTAGGGCACTGACTGAAATTAGCCGGAAGTTCGCCGCTGCACATTGCACACGTGGCCTTCGTTTCTGTGGTTTTATTACATGTGTAAGTGGAGTGATTTCCTGCATATTTTAAACATTTCAGTTCATGTATACAGAAATTGGCTGAGTGAGAGAATTGTTGGAACCTGTGAGGGCAACGTTTTCCATTACATTTTCCCGCTTTAATCACTAGGTTGTCAAGATGGGTTACAGTATATACGTTTTAATCACTAGGTTTTCAAGATGGGTTACAGTATATACTTCTTTGGGAATGATCGCATTTAGGTTGTGAAAATAATAGATGGGGGAGCGGAATTTTTCCTCCATTCCTAATTCTGGACATTCGTGCTAGATCTCTAACATTAAATTGTCCATTAATTAGTTTCTCTCTTAAAGGTTACAACTTTAATAATAAATCTCATTTGTTTGTCATCTGGGACAATGAAGGCATGATAATTAAAATTGCTTTCATTTAGGTAATTGATTATTTGGTTACGAGGGTGTGTTTCTCGGTAGGGTATATTTTGATACTGTCATGAAACATTTTACCATGATAATGTTTATAATTCAGTTTTCTTTTTCTTTTTTTTTGTTCGAGTTATGTTTTGGTAAAGATCGACCATGACGTTTACTTACCTTTAATTATAATCATTGGAATTTTATTTTTATAAGTACGGGTGCCCACTTGGTTGTCAATGTTTGCATCATTATTTTCATATGAATTAACTAGTAGTTGTTGGTGTGTTAGCATTTGCATTATTCGTGATCTATATTATTAGCGTTTGTGATAGGAGGGAGCTCATTTTCATATTCTCATTTGACTCATTTTGATTCATCATTTAAATTTTTGGCTATTTCATTAAATTCGTCTTCTCTTAGGTTTAGTAATTCGTTCAGTGTTAATTCCAACAAGGGAACGATTTACAAATGGCGAAATGCCATTGGTTAATACGGTAGAGCTTTTCGGTATTTCGGGCACCCCGATTTGATAAAACTTTCTTGCCTTTCAGACACTTTTGATATTTTTCCTCCCCCAATTTTCGGATCAATTGATAGAATAGGGATATGAGAGTAATTATCAGATTTAATGGAAATATCCTTTAATTTTTGACATCTGTTCAATAGGATTAGATCATTTGATTTGATTCGGGATTTCGGTTTTCCTTCTTTCTTTACTATTTGAAATTCCTCTTCGAGACGGGCGAGTCATATATGCATTCTCAGGGTGGCTACAATCACGGTAAAAAAATATATATATCTGCTAGGCAAAATATTTCGATGTCAATTCATTTGAAAGGAGGAGTAATAATAATTTCATTTACTTAATATACCATTACTTAATTCAAAATAAAAATTATATGGTTACACTTTGAACTAGCATTAATTAGATACGTTAGAATTATAGTGAAAGCAAAAATAAAACTTGACCAAACTTAAGCTACCGCTTTTTATTTATTTCCATCCTGATTCTGGTTCCGTACGAATACATTTATGACTCGCCTGTCCCGAAAAAGTTAAGAGTAGCATTTCTCTCATTTTTATTAGATAGCACGGGTACCGCACACCATCTTGCTTTATTTTAGTAGAATCACTTTTAGATCGTTACATAGGTTATAAGTAATGCTATTACAAGCTTCTAGTTCATTTGTGTCAGGATATGAGATACTTAAGTTTTAACCTAAGAATTCCTATCGTGGTCTTAAGTAATTTCTAGTGAGTTAGTAACATCTGGTGTTTTTGGCAAAAAACTGGTCATAGCGAGGTCTCTACTGAGAGCAAAATATTCTAGACTTGTTACCCGAAAATCCAGCTCAGAGATACTCCGTACGGTCTGTAAAAAATAGATAGTTTTAACAGAAATAAGCTAACCAAACCAGTTAACCTGCTAGGATTTTAGTAAAGCATCGCCATACTGAAAATCCTCCGTGAATGGTTATTTAATGAGATAAAAAGTAACACAAATAAAATTAAAGTAGCAAAATATTACCGTAAAACAGAGCAAAAGAAAAACTGAACATAGCGATATCTCTAATGAGAGCGAAATATTCTCCGAACGTTTTCTGCACTATAGCCTTACAGCCAAATATATTAGTCAATTCTTGACTCATTAATTCCATGACAGCAAGAAAAATTTTAATATAACTAAGCTCAAGTAATTTTAAACCGTCCATCTAGCCACACCTTAATGGGAGTATATAGGCTTTCCACCCGATAGCCCAGCTCAGGAATAAATAAGTACGATCTCTAAAAATAAAGATAGTTTTAACCGAAATTAACAAACCAAACTAATTCAGCTAACAGGATTCTAGCCTTTCAACACCACTTGGGCTTTACCGCAAATCTTCCGGGAATGATTGTTTAATGAGATAAAATACAAGTAATACAAATAATATTAAAGTAGCAAAATATTACCGTAAAAAAGCACAAAAGACAACTGCAGACAGACAATCAGCAAATAAGTTGATGATCTTGATAAGCGTTCAATCCAAGTTTTTGATGACTGGCTTGAGGGAGAGGACTCACACGAAGTAACTATAATAAACTTGCATTTCATATGATACTTCGCGTACTAAAGGAAATAGCATCCAAAAAAATATGCAAAAAGAAATAGCACTCAAATAGAAATTGAAGAGGAGGCACTGATACACACACGGCAGCCTCAACAGAAAAGCATTACAATGTAGTCAGTGTGGGAGCAGTTTCTGCGGTTAGCTAAACACCCGACTGTAACGAGACAGACAAAAAGAAACCAAAAGCAAGTCAGAGGAAGATTGAAGTAGAATAGCATAAACTAACAGATCGGGGAGAAAATTATCAGATGAGTTTCAAAGGTTTGAATATTAAATTAGTTTGTGTGCAAAAGATGGAGAACAAAAATGTATCTAAAAATGAAAAATTTAAAGATGTACATGAGATAAAAAAATATTCAAACTTTGCTTTTACTATGTTTTTTTCTTTTTTGACACTGGGAAAAATACTTTCTGAAACTACGGAGAATCCGTAGAAGTGAGAGTGGCTGGGCAGTAATCTTTCAAAGCATGTATTTTCAACACTTTTCACAGTAATAGCCTATTAACAGCTTAATCTTATTTATTTTAGTGAGCTACAATACACCGCACACCTAGAAGGAGTTGATGTTCAAAACAGAAAGGTAATTTCTATAATATATATATATATATATATATGATGCACTTGTAAAGTAAATATTGTGTTTATAAATGCTACTATGAATGACCGAAATTAGTGGCTGTTGACTTTCGCTGGTGAATGTTGAGAATCACATAGTCGCTTTGATAAATGCCCGATATATATATTAGATCTAGTTAAGTTCTACTGCCCTGTATGCCCTACAATAAATTTTTAGGACAAGTACTACTGCCCAGTATGCATTTAACCAGAACTCCGAACACTGATGTTTCTCCTAATCAAACCTCAGCAGATATTAAAATATCGAATAAATATAATAATATCAACGAATAAATTAATATAAGATTTGATATTAATNTGGTTTTAAGTTGAATACATAGTAAATACATGGAACTCTCATATTTCTAAGTACATTATAACTTTTTGAGAAAAAATAAGATTTTTTAGTAATATTTATCACCTAAAAAACTAATTTATCAACTCTTCTAAACTATTATCAACTTTTTATTTAAAAACAACTCTTATCGAAAGAGTGAGATTAAATTATGTGCACAGTTTTTGAATTAAAAAAAATTACTATGCACATATTATTACTTTAAAATTTTTTTGAGTTATTCAGATTAATGCAATTATTACTATGTTCAAATCCAATTCAGAAAAGTTCAAAATAGGTCTTAACTTTAGAGTATGTATTTTGAACTTTGATAATTTGCCAACTCCTTCAGCATTTAGTTAAAATAACAAATAATATTCAATAAATGTTATAAATTTTATAAAAACATCATTTAATCGAGATATTTTAGCTAAAATAAGACGGTTTTTAAAATATGTATGCTTATAGCATAATATTTAAATACAAAAGGGACTAAAAGAAAAAAAAACGAAGAAAATTAAAAAAAATCTAGTCTTTCTTCTTTCTTAGCTAACTTATTTTTGCATTATTATGAAAAAAATTATACTTTTAATATTAAATTTGTCTTTAGATTTTTTGATGACTTAATTACCTTTAATTTTCAAGATTATACTATTTTATTAAATAATATTTACCCCGAGGAATTAATCTTGCTTCGTTATCATGATGATAGTATTAATTTCATTTTGTTGAATTTGGGTATTACAAAAGAAGAAAATAACTGCTTTGTTGATTTATACGATAAAAGAAGAGATTTTAATTTTAATATGAATAAGCTAATTACTTGGAATTCTAATATTTCTAAGAACATCTATTTAAATACCGTTTTTAATCAAATGAATAGAATTGAAAGAATATGCAGTAATGTTTATTTATCCCCCAAAAAATAGACAAATTCTTTCAAAATTTGATATAAAGCAATGGATACCCAACTAAAGTAATTAAATTCTATGTAAAATCATTGAGTTAATTGTATGTTGTCATTAATAAATTTACTAAAAACTTATTTGCGAATTTATATTTTTAACATGTGCAAATCCAATTCTGGCAAATTCGTGGTTAAAAATCTGCACAAAACGAGCTAATCATGGTTTCTCTCCCTCTCTCTTTTTTTTAAATGTTATTTTTTTAAAAATCATTAAAATTGTATAATTAAATATCAACCTGTATAATTAATATTGCATAATTAAATATCAATTATAAGCTTCCTCAAATTATCCAGTATAATATTTTTATGTGTTCAGTATAATTATCCAGTATAATATCTAGTATAATCAAACAAATATGTTGTAACTAATAAATCAAACGCGCTTCAGTACTGCATTAAGAACGTGCTATAAAACTAAATTCCTCTATTTACGTTTTTAGCTATATTTGCGCTTCTGTTTTCCTACTTTGTAATCTGGCAATCTTATGACGAAAATATTTTAAATCATTCTTGAAAATTCCCCATGCATCTAAGTTCATTTGAATTCGTTACTCGCTTTATAGATTTCGTATTGTGTTTTGTTTTACTTTTGCTTTACATTTTATTTTCTGTTTTTTACGCGATATATTTTTTTCTTAATGTGTTCTATTCTGTTTCAATTTTCTTAGTGCTCCTCACACTATTGTATTGATATATTTTGGGTCGACTGTTTTGATAAAATATTAGAAAGCACTTCTTTTTGCGGATGTGATCGTGTGGGCTGATGAAGAGATTATACCTTTTCTTTGTTTCGGTTTCCGTATTTTTAATTTCTTTCTCTCTCTTTTTTTAATTTTTTTTATTTTTTAGATATCAGAAATTATATTTTTTTAAATACTTTTGAAAAATTATTTTTTATAATTTTCTTCTCCTGTCATTATTTTTTATTATTTTCCATATCTTCTCAATATTTTAGCTCATATATATATATATATATATAGCTTGAAAAGTGATTTTATGTTTAATGTATTTCAGTGTAAACGTGGAGATGAAAACTGCTTGTAAGTATATATCATAACTTATAACTTCTGGAAGCAAAAAAGAATAAAACATAGTGTTTTGTCATATTTTTTTCTGCAAATACTCAGAAATAACTTCAAATTTTTGATAAAGTCTTATTTACAACATAAAAGGAGAAATCTGACAATAGAGAAATCGTCATATTATTAAATTACTATAACATCAATTCTTTTAAAAGGTTTTTTTTTTTAATGTTATTGTTTTTCCCAAAATTGATTTTTTGATATTCGAAGTTGTTACAAGGATAATAGATTATTTACCCATAAGTCGCACTACAATAACTATTCTGAAAGTACAACATAAGCTTGCACGAATTATTTTATCAATATAAATTTGACAATATTTGATTCTTTTTTTTTAATTTATCCATACCAGTACATGTCAAGAACTTGTTTTATATCTAGTCTTTTTCCTATTTTACAAAAACTATGAGGCGGAGTTCTTTTTAAAGAAATCTCAAGATAAGATATTTTGTAATATTACAACACGAATAATACAGCACGTCATTCAATAACATAATAGAACAACATTAAATTTCAAAACTAACAACATTAAAACATAAAAATAATAACAAAATATCTTAGAAACATATGGCATTGCTCATTAAAAAGTGAATGCATACCTGTCGATTTTTATGTATTTTGCGTAATGCTAAAAATAACTTAAATTTTGGAACCACTGGAAAATATTTTTTCACAAAGTCGAGCAAGTTAGCATCTTTTAATTTTCATTTTATCACTTGGAGAAAGCAATCCTCGAAACATTAGTAATTAAAAGGTAAGCTAATGTATCGGAATATATAAATTCTTTTACTCATGCATACTTGCATTCAGGAAGTCATTTCTTAACCCTTTCGCGCCGATTGCATACCCTCCAACTGCTACGGAAGTTCCGTAGTTTCAGAAATCTTCTTTTCAGACGGTAGCAAAATTAATGTCTTAATATTTAAAAAAAATTAATTTTAGCGTAACTTGTCCACTATTACTTATAAAAGTGCAGGCCATATGGCTAGATTCTTAAGTTCTGATAAAAGTTTTATGAGAGATCCATTTGCTTTAAAAATTTCTACTTTGGTTCGCTACCACTAGAAAGAATTATTTTCAAAATCCTCATAAGTTGGAGGGTATGCGATTGTCACAAATACTTGGCAGCATAAAACAATATCAATCAGGGTAAAAAGATAAAACTGGTAACCAAAGTAGTTCCTCAGCAGTTTATTTGTGGACGGGGTAATGGTAGTTTGCTTTATTTAATTCACCACTACTTAGTTCGAATTAAAAATTTCATAGTTACACTTTTAACACACGTGGATTGGATGTGTTCGATTTAACACGTTCACGCCGGGTGCTGCGCCTGAAAGCGGGACGGAAAAGAGAAAATGCTGGTAGAAGAACTATTTCAATATTAGATAATATTCGGGAGGAGTTAATCTATTCTCAACAATAACAATTCATTGTAAGGAAATTTATCACGGCGAAGAAGCAATTCAATATAAAAATTGCATCCGTTAAGAACAATATGTAGTTATGGATTTTTATTATTCCGGGAAAAAACTAAAAAAGGAAATTTATTTGTTACCAGTTTTTACTCCGGTGGGTCACCCCGTCGTGAACGTGTTAAAGTGAAAGGAGAAATAAATGTGTAAAATCAGCTATGCCCAAACTTATTCTACCACTTTTTGTTTTTTACCACCCTGATACTGATTCCTTACGAATACATTTATGACTTAAACGTCCCGAAAGGGTTAATTGAAATGTATATACGAGGATTACTTTCTAAGTAAGGGCCGTTTTGTTATGTATACTAATATGTGACGCTGTGCGTTGCACTGGTGCTTGTGTCGTGTCCCGGCATTCCTTGGGAACAACTGTGCCGGTCAGTTCTCTGTCTTTAAAATGTTTAAATTAAACAACTCGCCCGCCACGCACGAGATACGATAAGTGATGCGTTTTAAGTTGGCAAAATCCACGTCTGCTGTATACATAACACTGACAGATTTGTGAAGTAACAAAATTTCCTGCCATGCTGACAGGGAATTTTGCTACGCTATGACAATAACTCTCTCCGCATCTCAGCAGATCCCAGCTTTATTGAACTTTTTTGCTTGGGAAGTTTTGAACCCTCCCTCCCTACGTCCCAGACCTGGCGCTGAGTGATTTTCTTCATTTCAAACATAATTTTGCAGCAATCCCTGCAACGATGACGAAGACGTGAAAACGGCCGTGACCTCTTGGTTAACGGAGCAGGCGGCAATCCCTACAACGATGACGAAGACGTGAAAACGGCCGTGACCTCTTGGCTAACGGAGCAGGTGGCAATCCCTACAACGATGACGAGGACGTGAAAACGGTCGTGACCTCTTGGTTAACGGAGCAGGCGGCAATCCCTACAACGAGGACGTGAAAACGGCCGTGACCTCTTGGTTAACGGAGCAGGCGGCAATCCCTGCAACGATGACGAAGACGTGAAAACGGCCGTGACCTCTTGGTTAACGGAGCAGGCGGCTAGCTTGTATTGAAGAGGTTTTTCCAAATCTAGTTGTAAGGTACTATAAGAGTTTAAACAAACTTGGAAGAAGAAACATACTTAGAGTCCGAAATATATG